GGGGGGGGGGGGGAGCCTTGGAAGGCAAATGCCCTCCGTTATCTTCAGGCTGGTGTGCTGCCAAAGGGGTGTGTTAAGACAACAACCCTCAATTGGCGTGAAGGCGAGTCAGATGGATTTGCTGCTTTTCCCAGTGGGAAAGGTGCCTGCTTTGCTTTCCCTCTTTCATTCTGCTTTCACCCAGAGCTGAGGCACCGGGCACAGCACTCCCTGGGCTGGATTTTAGCTACAGGCATACCCTTAGGTGAGCAAACCACACCAGCCCCACCTCTGCTTTCCCAGAGCGTGCTGCAGCACTTGGCATCCCCTGGCTCAAGGCACCGTCACCAGCCAGATGGGGGACAGCCCCATTGCACCCCTTGCCTTGCAGCTGCATCAAGTATGGCTTTGAGGGTCTGCGTGCACAAGCCCCAGGTCCTTTTTTCCTTATGCTTCTCCTTCAGGAAGCTTTTTTTTTTTTGTGAGAACATATTTCTTGCAGCCTTTTCACACAAACTTTTTACTTATCTGCTGGATTCCCTTCAATGGGCAGCACTGTACAGAGGTTTTTAGCAGCCAGCTATTACTGGAGCAGGGGAAATCAAAGCTGAGAGACAGGAAAAGCCAGTTAGTACATCTCCTTTGCTAGAAAGAACCATTTCCCTATTTTTATTTATTATTTTTTTTTCCTCTAAGGCAGCCTGCTGCTACTAAGCATTTTCAACTTTGAAGTGGAGAACAACTGTGGCCTATTGTACCGTAATCACTGCTTTTACCTTGTGGGCCACAGACACAGTGTTCAGAGACACAGCAGCTCGGCAGCGCCAGACACAATGTTATTGGGACAGCTACAGAGAGGCAGACCCATGCATCAGAGAGCAGACAAACCCAGCGTGTTTGAGTCACCAGGAGCTGTACTGCAGGAACGATCCAGCTTCAGGTTCCCAGTGGAGAGAGACTGCATCCTCTCACCACCCTCCCCCTGTTATACCTGGATTTTTTCCCCCTTTGCAGTAGCAGCAGTGGTCCAAGAATCAATAGGGTACTTAGAGACATTCTTAAATCACTGTTACTATAAGCTGAGGTACAGCAGTTAGGTTATGCCATCCTTAAAGAGAAAAAAATTGAATTGCCCAGGCCGGTAGGGACCTCCAAAGGTCATCTAGTCCAAAAAGCCCCCCCTCCAAACACGATCAACCCAGAGATGTAAGACTGTGTCTTCCTCCTGTGACGGCCCACATTCAGTTCCCTTAGCAAGCAATATTTCAGAGCTATTGCTACTTCCAGATCTAGTCACGCTCTCCCCAAAAACGCCTCTATAAAAATGCGGGTAGAAGGGTCTGTCCTCCCCTGCATGGCGGGGCTGAGTAGCTGTGGGTCTGGTTTTACTGCTCTTAAATAAGAAAGGAAAAAAAAAAAAAAGTAGTTTTTCTTTTCATATTAGGATAGAAACAAATAAAAAAATTTTAAAAAATAGTTTTAAAAAAATAGTTCTTTCATAGAGTGGGGTTTTTTCTAAAAAAAAAAAAAAATAGAAATTAGACTAAATAGCCGTGGTGTTGGCGGGGCTGCCCTGCGCTGCGGTTTGGGTGTAGCAGCCCTCCGGAGAAAAACCCGCATTCCCGCCGGCCGGCCCCGCACCCCCCGGC